GGCAGATCACCTGAGGTCAGGAGTTTGAGACCAGCCTGAGCAATATGGTGAAACCCCATTTCTACTAAAAATACAAAAATTAGCCAGGCATGGTAGCAGGTGCCTATAATTCTAGCTACTCAGGAGGCTGAGGTGGAAGAATCGCTTGAACCCAGGAGGCAGAGGTGGCAGTGAGCTGAGATCACGCTGCTGCCTTCCAGCTTGGGCGACAGAGTGAGATACCGTCTTAAAATTTAAAAAAAAAAAAAAAAAAAAAAGTACATCAGCTTGTGCATCTCTCTCTCAGTGAAAAAGAGAGAAGCATTTAACTCCACGTTCCTGTCTCCATTGGTTGAGGATTGCCCTGAGGGAGCAGGGCAGGAGTTCACTAGGGATGCATGGATCTGGTAATAGCCAGCATGCATGGACTGTTTGCCAGAGCTGTGGCTGGAATCTGGAGCTTGGTGAGAACAGATGAGGATGGGGACAAAGGGTCACAGCCTGGTTTCCAGGTATGGGACTTGATGGCCACATAGCAGGCCAAGATGGGAAATGCAGCAGGGAGCAGGGCAGTGAGGGAGGCTGCTCAGGATCCCGGCACAGCAGAGGTGACAAACCTGAGGCAGGACAGCCTTCTCCCATGGAGGTCCCTGCTTCAGGGACAGACCCAAAGGCTCCATGCAGCAACCCAACCAAAAAGGAGGCCTGCACGATAGGCTTTCATGGAGCTGGGTGCCCAAGGAGGTCACAGCCTTGGAATTCAAGAACTTCTTCCAGCTCTGCTTCTCTCTGCCTCTCTTCGTCTTTCCTCTCTCCCTCTTTTTCTGTAACCCTGCCCTCAACAACTCTTTCCCTTTCTCTTTTGTGCTGTTTCTCTGTGATTCTCTGCACCCTCTTCCCATCTCAGTCCTCTCCATCTCTCATTTCCTCTCTTCTCTTTTTCTCTCTGCCTTTCCCTCTGTGCACTGATCACTGTCCGGCTCTCTGGACATCTCCCTACCTCTAGCTCCCTTGGTTCTCATTGTAGGTCCTTCTCTTTGACTCTTCCACCTCCTTTTCTCCCCGTGGGCCCAAATCAACATCTCTCCATGACTCCATCCTCCCATCTTCCTCTCTCTTTCCCCGCTCTCCCCAACCTTCTCTCTGTCTCCTATTTCTCTCATTGTTTCAACCCTTCTCTCTACCCTTTGTCTTTGTCCTCCTCTCTCTCTGTTCTTCCCCTCCATATCTTATCCCTTCTCTTATCTTCTCTCTTCCTGTCCCTTTCTCCGACTGACTTCACCTCCTATGTTCTCTACTACTCTCTAGTCGTGCTCTAGTCTTACCATCGACCTCTGCCTATCACACAATTTAAAAATTACAGAAAGATGGTGGGGATCACCGGAGTTACTAAAAAACGTCTGTTCCCAGGTAAGCTTCCCCCAGAGCCACCTGAGTTGGTGCTACTGAGGGCAGCTGGCTCAGTGAGGAATGGGCTCTGACAAATCCTGAGCCTCTGTGAGGCTCCTCACTGGCTCCACAGCTGCTGCTGGGCCCCCTTCTATTCCCTATCATGAGACATTGGATACCTCATGGGGGTATCTTCCTATCTGCTCACAAGGCACCACTAGCAGCCAGTAGGCACACAGTAAGTATTTCTAGAACGAACAAGCAAAACTTCTGCCCATGGCTTCATATAGGATGTTCCACACTCCAGGAGGCCCCCTTGAGCCCCTCCCAGTCAACACTACCAAAGGGTAACCCTGCTTCTGTGGCCAACAAGGCAGTATCTGCCTGGGTTTGAACAATGTCTGAGAAGTCATACATGGTACACCCTGGGGTGTGAGCTGGTCTTCCAGGAAGCAGACGCCCAGATAGACAGGACTGTGAATGTTTATTAAGGGAAACACCATGGAAGTGAGAGAGAGGGGAGGCAGAACTGGGCATGGAGCATAAAATATGTTAGATGCTTTTCCAAGATATCACAGCTCACAAGTCTTCCAATTTCAAAATTGTCCTATAAGGTAAAAAGATTTTGGTTTCCAAGTGATCTTCTTTTGCCCAACATACATTTTGTCTTCTATGAAAATCTGTGCCCCTGCTGAATACTTTTGTGTGTGGTCACATCTGTGTCTGTATGTCATGAAGAGTTATCTACAGATCGCAGATACAGATCTGAGTTTAACTGTGTATGCATTCCTTTAATTTCATCTGATAAGGATCTGAATTTAACCTTAGAGACAGAGACTTTCCCTTATCCTTTGAAACAGAGATTGGAAATCCTGATGCCTGAGCTGTTACACCTTAAGGTTTATTTAATGAATGTCAATGAATATCTTTTGCTTATCTTCTGAGTTGGAATATTTTCACTTAACCAGCAAGAGAGGTGAGGGTCTAACACCTACCAGCTATTTTGCAAGATGCTTTTTCTATGGGCTTGTTCTCTGTCTTCACAATGACCTCATAACCACACCATTCTTGACTCATTTATAAGGAAGCTGAGGCTCTGAACCCTACTGAGAGTTGGTGTCTGGGCTCAGGCAGCAAAAACGCAGGAAAGGGGAAAGATTTTGCATGCCAATGCTGGGAGATGCAAAGCTGGGCGTCATGAGTGAGAAGGAGAGGGTGCTGAGGATGAGATAATGCCAGAGCAACTCAGGATTCGCCTTGAGTTCCCTGCCAGAGTTGGCCTCATTCTAAAAACCAAGGCTGCAGCTCCACTGAACCAGACCCATTCTCATTGTCTCCTTGGGCCATAAAACTCAGGGAGACAGGGTCTCCTAACAGAACCAAGTTAAATTTCCCAGACCTCTAGGCATTCACTCACCCTGATTCAGAGCTTTCACACATCCAGGAAAAGAATCATCTTTCCTACAGATAATGGACTAAAGGCTGTAGGGCAACAAGAAAGTGCTGGGGAGGATAATTCCCTGTGCACACTGTGCCATCTGAGCTCTCCCACAGCAGCTGTGTGTGGCCCTCACACAGCCTCCACATTCCTGCTCATACTACTTTCCTGGCCAGGAGCAACCTTCAGCTTCACCTTCAGCTTCTCTGCCATGTGATACCTCCCTGCTTCATCCTTCTCTTCCAAAGCATCCTGTTTATTCCCAGGAGATTCTGTCTCCTCCTTCTGCACCCTGGGTCCTTTCACTTGTGCTTCCATTAGGGATGGTCAGAATCTCTGTGCCATTCAGTGTGGGCCTCTCTGCTGCAGGACATAGGATGCCCTGAAAGTCAGGGACTGGTCTCATTCCTTACAGAGCTGGCCATATGGCCCAGGTTCCTTACATGCCTGCAAAACTGGTATTTCTAGCTTCCATAAATAATCTCTGGCCAGGCACAGTGGCTCACATTTGTAATCTCAGCACTTTGGGAGGCCAAAATGGACAGATGGCATGAGCCCAGGAGTTTGACACAAGGCTGAGCAACATGGTGAAACACAGTCTCTACAAAAAGAAAAAAAAAAAAAAAGATTAGCCAAGCAGGGTGGCACATGGCTGTGGTCCCAGATACTGTGGAAGCTGAGGTGGAAGGATCGCTGGAGCCCTAGAGGTGGAGGTTTTAGTGAGCCACAGTTGTGCCTCTGCACTCAAGCCTGCATGGCAGAGAGATTCTTCATGTTATTTCTGTAAACAGAATAGTGAAAGCCCTTCAGCCCTTGGCCCCTACGCATTTATGGCTTCTGGAAGTATCACCAAGGATGGCCAGCTGAGAATGGAGAAGCCTGAAAGCTCATGGGAAAGGCTTTGCTCTTGAAAATGTCAAGACAGAAAAGGCACCACAGAACCCACAAAGCAAAGGCCAGGCCAGGAAAAGGGTACTGTAGGAAAAGACAAAAGTGTACTGAAATAGCGTGAAAATGACCTCAGCATTTACTTTGTCCTCTCTGTGTTTTCAGTTGGGACACAGCTGCTGTTCCTCATGGGAGCCGAATGAGGTCCTGAACCTGCTAAGGGCCAGAGAAGTGAACAAGGCTTAATCTGGCTTGCATGTTCTATGCAGAATGAGAAACATCTGTGCCCTCTGCTGCCATCTCACTCTCTTTGCCACACTCAGGTCCCTTACCAGAGACACACGGTTTATTGACCAGATGCCTCAGAGGATCCTGGAGCCCTCTGGGCACTCATCCTTGAGGAAGACACCGCGAGCCCTGCTCCAGGGCCTTTCTTAACTATCAACAGGCTGTGGACAGGTAGGGCTCTAACCAGATGGTACTGGGTCCAAATCAGAGGTTCCCAGTATGTTTCAGAGGAAATCACTCATCATGTAAACACAGACTCAAACTTAAAATAGGAACAGCCATGGATGGGAAGAATATCAATAAACCCTGAACAGGAACAGCACTGCTTCTTTTCCTCAAGCCATGGGGGCATCTGAAATTCTGTGGATTCATAGTTAATCTAATTTCCGTATCTGACCAGATATTATCAATATTTATGAACAGAGATGGACATAAAGAGACTAACAGTAATGAGAAAAGTTAAGAGCTACAGAAATTAACTGGAAATCTTTAGGGTTACATTTAAAAATGTTAGAGGAGTAAGATTATATAGACATTTAATTTACTAATGGAGTTATATAGTTCATAATAAACAATTTAAATAAAGAAAAAGAATAAATGAAGCTCCAAAAAGTGTAAATAAATGCTTCTTTTAAAGCAGATCTCATGGTACAGTATCGATCCATGAAGACATAGCCAGAAAATTTCTGCTCTCATCAGTACATATGGCTCCCATTCTAAAATGTTACTGGTGTTACTTTTCTCAAATGAAAGAAAAACAAAGCCTTCACATTGACTCAAAGTGGGAAGGGGAACTGGCCTATTTGCCTTCTAGGATCATCTCCTAAGTTAAAAGTAACCAAGACATTAGGGTGGGGGACCTGAGCTCCACCATTCACAGGGGACCAGCCAAGAGCCATTCAGCTGGGGCACCTGACAAAAATAGGGGCCTGCCACCCAGAGGGACAACTGTTCTCTTTAGTTAAGTGTTTGGGACTGTTTCCAGGAAACATAACAATTGCCCCACCCAAGTCCTTACCTCCAAAAGGAGCAGCACAGCGTGTGGAGTGTGCAGCAGAAGTTAAGCAGCTGCCTTCACTGCGAGCTCCTACCTCTCCAGAAAGGCTTTCCTAGGCCCCATTGTCTTTGGGCTGGCTCCTGACTCATGTGTTTCTTTGGCACACTCTATTTTTCCATCATTTCCATCTTGAAGAATAGAATTGACTTGAAGAATACTTAAAACACCAAGGTCTTTACTAGACACTCAAAACTTCATCTTAAAACAAAAACATTCTTTGAAATATCCATCACAATTATCTACATGCGCTTCTTGCAGGCAGCCTTCCTCTCTGCCGTCTCCCTCTGCAAGGTTTGAGCACAGAACTGTGGGGGGAAAAAGTACATCCATGTCCTGACCTGGCAGACTATGCACAAAAGCAAAGAAAACAAAACAAAACAAAACAAAACAAAACAAAACAAAAACAAACTTACCCAGTTGTCAAGACCCATTCTTGCAGAAGGGGTGATCTGAAAAAGCCAACATATGAGAAATTGTATGTTAAGAGAATTTAAGGACTGTGGCATCATCTGCATCAGCACTGAAGGATCCTGCAATTGCAGGAAGAAAGGCTCCTTCCGTTGCATCTGTAGGAGTCCTCTACCCGCAGCTGCAGCTCTTCTATGTCTTGAATCATTTTCCTACAGTTTAGAATCACTTTTGTCAGATAAACTGCCATTTTCAGTGTGATTTTAAATAATCTGCTATGTTCCTATTATCCTCACAACTTACCCTTACACAAACTATACATAGAAAACAGTTCACATGGTTATAAAAAGTACAGTATGATCAAAACTGTTGCTATAATTATTACTCCTCTTTTACTTAACGCCTGCTGCGTCTGAGTGGACAATTTCCTTACCCATTCTGAGTATATCCCTAATTCATCCTTCAATGGGCATCTTTTATCATAAAGTTCTATTCTCCTTTTATTAATATCCTTGACATATTTCACAGGGCACAAATACCTGGGCTTATAAACAGGCACAGTCCTTTTGAAGGATATAGTTGATTCTATAGCAACATGCTTTCCTAAGAATGATGAGACCTCACACCATCCCTAGAATGACTGGTATAAACCGAGTTTCTACAATCCACGCAGTCTGGCCTATCTTGGGGTCAGGAGATGTTCTGCTACTTCACGTTTTGGTCACTGGTAAATCTTAAGGTACTTAGTTTTCTCTTGTGTGAATTCTCTCTCTCTCTCCAGATATATCTTCTGACCATTTGTTCCCGTTTCTGTGTTATCTGGGTCTAACGTTGCACAAAGTTAAAAAGAAGACACTCTAATGGGTGTTTATCAAGAGGCTGCTGTTCAGTTTCTGAACTCACTTGTATGTATATATTTTTAAAATAATATACACATACATTATTTTCCTCTACTTTCACATTTTCCTCTACCTCTGACAGCTACCTCTCCTTTTCTGCTCGCTCATGTTCTTTCATTCTCAGCTTCCTGAGACAAGGAGAAATGCATGCACATGATCCTCCACTCTGTGTGGAATTCTTTCCTCCCTTCCAGCACCTGAAAGCTGTGATTCCAAGATCCTCTTCCAACCTTCCCATAAATGAACCAACTGATCCTCACAACCAGAGGGAAAATTTACACCTCCACTGAGGGACAAAATCGTACTCTGGCCTGCTGGCAAATCACCTGTCATTTCCAGCTCATCTTCATAGCTCTAAATTCCTATTCTTTAGTAAAGAAGGACTATTAAAAGCTTCTATGGGACACATTATGTGTATTTCTGGGGTCAGTGTTGTGCTTGACACAGCAAAAGCTCATTTTAGTTCAGGGTGAAAAATCAGACCTCACCAACTTGTCACATCTAACTCCATCAGGATGCAGCAAGGGATTGCTTGTCATCTGACTCCTCCCATAGGGAGACCTGATTTTCTGTCAGAGGCTGATGCCAGAACCAGACAATCAGCCATAGAGAGATCCTTCCAGGACATGCTATCATTAACCCTGCAGTTCACTACTGCACATTTCCATGATTCAGGACTAAAATTCTTTTCAAGGATGTTAAACATTCTGGTTGAGAGAAAAGGTCAATCTGAGTGCTGAGTAGTACATCTACTGAATTAAAAATTATCTGAATGGCTCCTTAGTCAAGGTGATATGTCATGAAAATAGGTGACATCTGCAAACAATCCACCCTGGTGTTGACTGACTTTAACAAGTTTCAGTACATAGAGAAAGAGGGCAGGAAAAGGAAATGGCCTAAAAAGGTAGGTTTGCTGTGTTGCCCTCACACTACTTGATTTATGGATTTAAGGATCTCACTTGATACTTGATTTTATATGACAGACATGTAAAGTGCCACGAACTCTAGGAAACAAGGACAAAGACACTTCAAAGAGAAAGTGAATGCGCTTGTTTCTGACAACCCAGGCCATCCTCCAGCACATGCTGTCTGGAGTGACCTGAAGCAAGGAGTGTGTTGTGAGGTGCTGAGGATGCATTATGAGCAAGGCCCCATCCCCACCCTAAAGGAGCTCATAGTTCAATACAAATAAGAAGCTAGTGAGGATATCACTACTCCTGCTGTGCACTTAGGAACTTAGAAACACGAAACCTAAATCTGGAGAGAAGCTAAGGAAGCATTCTGCTCTTGAGTAGACACAAGTGCACCTGAAGCTTCTAATGCCCCATGAGAACAATGGGGGACATCAGATAGAATATAAAATCTATGATTGAATGCACTGAATTGCTAACATGGCAGTAAAGAGACATGAAGCCAAGACGCAGAAGAAGGAAACCCAGAACAATGGTCAGCCTCACATCTGGGGTCAATTTCCCTGAGTTTCATCACTGACTACCAGAAGGGACTACTGAGACGCAAAATAGCAGAGCAGTTTTGCACACATGCATGGGGTTCAATGGAAGACAAGTGGACTGAGGGTTTGCCAATGAAGGTGACCCCTACTAAAGTCCACTGGCTTTGGTGGGGACCCGGAAGAGTCATACTCCAGGAATAGCAGTGGACAGGAAATACCCTGCCCTTTGTTGGGACTGCACCTGCACTAATGACCTCAACTGCTGAATGAATAAAGGGCATCCAAGTGTGCTAGGACCCCTGACCATACCCAGAAGTAGACTCCCAACTTTTCTGTAGCAAGACAACATGCTAATAGGCCTCAATTCATTGCTAAATTTTTTTAAACCAGTGTCTCACTTTTAATTTTAAGACTAGTCGTATGGCAGGAAAATACAATGTAATAAGACCAAAACCTAAAATACTGTGAAAATAAATCCAGAGTGACCCAAGCATTGAATTTAACAATGCCAGTACCAGTACTACCTCTTCCCCCTAAAATAAATTACAAACAAGAATGTAGGAAGGGAAAGGAAATACACAGATTATACTAATCAAGCAAGAAGGACAAACTCAATTTTGTACCCACTGAATTTGCCACAAATATTGCAGAAAATATTCTCAAGGACATGGCAGTTATCTACTTTGGTTGGCACATGGTTCATACAACAGTATTCATGTCAATGAACATCTTACTCTTCCTCAACAGACTTTCTTTGGCTGTAGGTTTCATAATGACTGTCTACCTTCATCATCATCTTTTGTACTACAGCTCACACTTTGGCTTCCATAGATCTCCATGAAGTAAAGAGGTCTTCCAGGTCAATTTTAATTCCTGGAAATGATAAAACCCTTTTCTTTGTATGCTACAAATGGACCTGAGCCTTGGTTAGGGTGGGGAGAGGATAAGGTCAGAAACCTGAGGGCAAGAAGCTGTTCTTTCCTATTCCAAGGCAAATTCGTATCTACGCTCTGTGGACTCCAACAGATAACATACCTTCCTGGCTAGTCTATTGGACCTCCAGGCTCTCAGCTGTGAATCCATGGATCCATCATTTACATTTCATGCCTTTAAGATAGACTCAAGGAGATGTATCTAGGAAATAATACTTGAAAAATGATGTGAATATACTTTACACAACTGAATTGTACACTTTAACATGGTTAAGATGGTAATTATCATGTTATGAATATTTTCCCACAGGTTAAAATGTTTCACAATTTGAAAAGAAAGTAATTGCCTTCGGTTCTCTGAGTTCTAGAATTTGTAACACTTCATCCTCTGCTCCTTCCTGATCTGCAGAGGAGCATCTTCCACCTGTCCCTGTTCTCCTCAGAGTCCACTTTCCCTTTCCTGCTACCAGCTTTACTGAGGCTGGTTGAACCCAATGCAAAACATTCCCCTAATGAATGAATACCCAGGAAGAATTCCATATAGACATCATATGATTTTAATTTTCTAAAACTTGAAATATTTGTTCTCATTATAGCTAAGATGCAATGCAAATTCTGTCACAGATGTGGGTCATATACCTCTGAAATTCCTGAGTATTCATTGAAATAACATCTTTCAAGTTCTCTGTAAAATTTTTTTCTGATTTCTGTACACAAGTTAGAAACAAAACATGTACTAGGATTTCAATAGAAGCAATGGGTGATCTAAAAAAAAAAAAAAACGAAAGGGCAACCACATCTATCCCACAGCTACTGCTAGGTTTTGTGGGGAAAGAAGCTGGCCCAGTTTGGACCTAGAAGAAACACATGAAGAAATGATAAGCAAAGAAACACCATGAGGTATGAACATTTTGTGGCACCCACAATGTCCCTGCTTAGGAGATAATGGGACAGATGACCAGAGGGCAAGAAAATGAGAAGGCACAAAGTTGTCCAAGTCAAACAGTTCAACTAAACTTTTCTTAATGGAAGATTTTTAAAGTGGTCCATTAAAAAACTTCCCCAATTCACATTGAAAATTTTCTGTTCAGGACTAAGTGGAGCAGGCACGGTGCAATGGGCCTAGATATCTTCATAACTCATATATTTTCTGTTTTCTACATATCTTGAAGTACAGTGCCAAATGATGTGTAATTATCTGGGTTGTAAAAATAAAACATACTTCTTCTCCCTTGAATATAAAAAAGCATAGTGGTATTAGTACTTTTTTCTTGGATCATTGTTCAGAAGATGGTTCAGTCCCCAAACACCCACACTTTTACTGTAATGAACAGCAAGAGAAAATGTAGAGCTCAATTTACTCATTGGACAAAAAGGCCCAAAGGCCAGTTATGACACAACTTAGCAGCCAAATTCATACGAAGTATAGACTTTTGACATATTGATCCCTCTCAAGTTGCAACCAGGAACATGTACTT